AAAAGTGTGGAAATTAGCCTTCAATTTTGGAATTTTTCGACTTTTTTTCGCCCGGAAATAAAAATTGCCTAAATGTTTACCATGGTCCCTAATATCCTCCAGGAGTTCAATTGGGTAGGTGGAACCATCTAATTTGCCTTTAAACGGGCAATTTACCGGTTTATAACTTGCACGGATTTCATTAATTCAAGCCTACCACGAACATTTATGACAACAAATAATGATCATATATGGTTCCAAACGGCATTATATGACCCCGAGATGTATCCCCTAGAATTTCAAGATTTTTCGACACCGGAACCAGAAACCTCCAAAATTTCTCAAAAATCGTGGATATTAAACCTTCAATTTTGGAATTTTTCGACTTTTTTTGGCCCTAAAATAAAAATTGCCGAAATGTTTACCATGTTCCCTAATACCCCTCCAGGAGTCCAATTGGGTTGGTGGAACCATCTAATTCGCCTTTAAACAGGCAATTTACCGATTTACAACTTGCACAGATTTCATTAATTCAAGCCTACCACGAACATTTATGACAACATATAAAATAATCATATATACAGTTACAAACGGCATTATATGACCCCGAGATGTATCCCCTAGAATTTCATGACTTTTCGACACTCGGCCCCAAATCCTCCAAAATTTCTCAAAAAAAAGTGGAAATTAGCTTTCAATTTTGAAAATTTTGACTTTTTTTTCGCCCAAAAAGAAAAATTGTCGAATTGTTTACAATGATCCCTAATACTGTCCGAGAGTCCCATTGGGTGGGTGGAACCATCCATTTTTCCTTTAAACGACAAATTTATCGGTTTACAACTTGCACTGATTTCATTAACTCAAGTCTACCCCGAACATTTATGACAACAAATAATGATCATATATGATTCCAAACTGTATTATATGACCCCGAGATGTATAGAATTTCAAGACTTTTCGACACCGGGCCCCGAAGCCTTCAAAATTTCTAAAAAAGCGTGGATATTAATCTTCAATTTTGGATTTTTTTTTACTTTTTTTCGCCCGGAAATAAAAATTGCTGAAATTTTTACCATGGTCCCTAACATCCTCCGAGAGTCCAATTGGGTTGGTGGAACCTTCCAATTTGCCTTTAAACGAGCAATTTACCGGTTTATAACTTGCACGAATTTCATTAATTCAAGCCTACCACGAACATTTTTGACAACAAATAATGATCATATATGGTTCGAAACGGCATTATATGACCCCGAGATGTATCCCATAAAATTTTAAGATTTTTCGACACCAGAACCCGAAACCTCCAAATTTTTTCAAAAAGCGTGGATATTAAACCTTCAAATTTGGAATTTTTCGACTTTTTTTCATCCTGAAATAAAAATTGCCGAAATGTTTACCATGGTCTCTAATACCCTCCAGGAGTCCAATTGGGTAGGTGGAACCATCTAATTTGCCTTTAAACAGGCAATTTACCGGTTTACAACTTGCACGGATTTCATTAATTCAAGCCTACCACGAACATTTATGACAACAAATAATGATCATATATGGTTTCAAACAGCATTATATGACCCCGAGATGTATCTCCTAGAATTTCATGACTTTTCGACATCGGCCCTAAATCCTCCAAAATTTCTCAAAAAACGTGGATATTAGCTTCAATTTTGGAATTTTTCGATTTTTTTTCGCCCGGAAATAAAAATTGCCGAAATGTTTACAATGGTCCCTAATACTCTCCAGGAGTCCAATTGGGTTGGTGGAACCATCTAATTCTTCTTTAAACGGGCAATTTACCGGTTTACAACTTGCACGGATTTCATTAATTCAAGCCTACCACAAATATTTATGACAACATATAAAATAATCATATATACAGTTACAAACGGCATTATATGACCCCGAGATGTATCCCCTAGAATTTCATGATTTTTCGACACTCGGCCCCAAATCCTCCAAAATTTCTCAAACAAAAGTGGATATTAGCCTTCAATTTTGAAAATTTTCACTTTTTTTCGCCCAAAAAGAAAAATTGTCGAAATGTTTACAATGATCCCTAAGACTGTCCGAGAGTCCCATTGGGTGGGTGGTACCATCCAATTTTTCTTTAAACGACAAATTTATCGGTTTACAACTTGCACTGATTTCATTAACTCAAGTCTACAACGAACATTTATGACAACAAATAATGATCATATATGATTTCAAACGGTATTATATGACCCCGAGATGTATCCCCTAGAATTTCAAGACTTTTCGACACCGGGCCTCGAAGCCTTCAAAATTTCTCAAAAAGCGTGGATATTAGCCTTCAATTTTGGAATTTTTTTAATTTTTTTTCGCCCGGAAATAAAAATTGCCGAAATGTTTACTATGGTCCCTTATATTCTCTGGGAGTCCAATTGAGTTGGTGTAACCATCTAATTCGCCTTTAAACAAAATCTAATAAATTGATTTATTAATAAAGAATGGAAACCTCAATTCATATAATCTGTATTAAATATACGAAGTAGGAGAAAATTATAATGTTTATAAGAAAATAAAACGGTTCAACCTTCCTTTAATTTCTTCAATGGAATTTGCATAATTAGTCAATTTAAATATAAAATCTGTTAGGATACAAAATAATTAATTCACCATTTTCAAACTTTTATTTTTGTTGGAAAAAAAATGATGTCATTATTAGTTTTGGTGGGAAATTTTTTTATAAGAGCTTGACATGTGTATAGTAATGACATAAGCGGTAATTACTTTAGTTATATTTATAGATAGATTATAGATTATAGTTCCCTAGTATATTGTCATATATATTAAAGTCAAAGGAAATAATTAGCTTGATAAAAATGATAATTATCTATTTATAGTAAGTTGAACCCGAATATGACCTGACTTGAAAATGACCTGACCTGATTGTAACCTGTAAATTATTGACTTGAACATAACCCGACTTGAAATCGAGAATGACCCGACTTGGAAATGACCCAACCTGATTATAACCCGCAAATTATTGACTCGAACCGAACCCGACTTGAACCCGAGAATGACCCGACTTGAAAATGACCCGACCTGAATATAATCCGCAAATTATTGATTTGAACCGAACCCGACTCAAACACGAGAATGACCCGACCTGATTCTAACCCGCAGATTATTGACTTGAACCGAACCCGACTCGAACCCGAGAATTACCTTAACCCGAATTTAACCGAACCTATTGTTCACCCAACCCGAATGTAACCCGACATGTTATTAACCCGACCTAAACCCGACCTAAACCAGATAAGAAGTATGATCCGACGTGACCCGACTCAAGCATGACCCAACCCAAATCCGACCCGCATAGGTTATGAAATTAATCCGACCCGACCCGAGTTGACCCGACCCACTCTTACCTGACCCAAACCCAACTCGTTTACCCGAATTGACAGCTCTAAGTAATACATATGATATTTCCATATTCCAGTCTTAGAAGTTAGAAGCTATAGTGGTAGCGTTTAAGTTGTTTCAAAATTGAAGACTGTTTCCCTGTCCCTCCATCAATTGCGGTCATCACGCGGAAATGAACAAAAACACAATAGAAGATTGGTGGAGCCTTGAGAATAAATAAACAACTTCGTAATTTCGTATGTTTTTATTAAGTTGGGCCCATTAATCACTGCTTCACAATAGAAGTTTGAACAAAAGATTTTGCAAATGTCAAAAATAAATTAGAAAGATCATTGGAATCAACTTGTCTTAAATTCCTTTGTCACATTATCAAGGGGTTATTTGTTACAATTTTTTTTTTCCATGTTGGGTGTTTATAAAAACCCGATTTGCATTACTCAATTCGACAAATTATCGATCCATTTTGAAAATTTTGGGTAGTTTAATGAAAGTTCTTAAACCTACCAAATATTGTGGAGGGAAACTGGAAAAGAACAATATGTATGTGTACTTATTAGTGTGTTTAAAAGATTTGATAGTTTGCCTTTAAATAGCTCTTATTTTTCCTATCAAACTTTGAAATGAACTTAAATAACTTTTATTTTTCCTTGAACTTATTTAGACCCACATTTTTTGAAATAAGTAAAAATAAGGTTAATTGAATGTAGACTAGAGCCTCTTCATATTTACTGAATTGAGCTGAACTGAAATGATTGGAGCTAAACTCAACTGAATTGATTGGAGCTGAACTGAATTAATTGGAGCTGAACGGAACGAAACGGAACTGAAATGAACTGAATGAATATTTTATGAGAGAGGAAAATTAGGAGTTGAACTGAACTGAACTGAACTAAACTAAACTGAAATTAAGTAAATGTGAACAGACTCTAAGCTAAAGCGTCTTAATGAGATCATAACAATACCCCTCTAATCATAAGTAATCAATGAAGCAATGAGATGTAAATTTCAACCATATCATAACACATTAACAGTTTAATAGCACCCCTCCAATCACGAGTTTGACATAAATGAAGCAATAAGATGAACGTTAAAATGAAATCATAACAACATCCCTTCATCAATAATCATGAGTTTGACTATGATGTATATAAATTTAAAATTGAACCATTCTACTACTTGCTCTTACTTTATTGTGTAAATCAAATAACGTATGATTGTTTAAAGTATCCCCATACAATTTGCATGTTAGAATTCAATCATGATGAATTCATGAAATAATTCACACAATATAATTATAAAGAACAAATTAAATTAATTATTATTGCAAAATCCCGAAATTTGTCTCCTTTAATTTAAAAAATATCCTATGTGCATTAGTATCTTACTTACATAATTACCAAATAATTAGTAATAATAACCCATAACAATATGTATGCTTATTATAACTCATAATCTAAGCTAAACTATAAATAACATTTAACAACATATAGTATATCTATCAGTATAAAATCGAATCAAACTAGCTAATTTAAACCAAACCAACTATATATTATTATACAATCAAGTATAGTTATATGTATGTATATATATAATAGTGAGATCAAATTGCAAGAAAATCTAGTTACATGATGAATTAGTCAATAGGACCTCTTCTTTGTAGATTGTTGAAGAACAAAGAGCCTTTTAAGAACCTTAACTAAAAGCAACATACTTGGTTTCTTATTACTTTTAGTATTCTTCAAAGTACTTGTTCTTACTAACTTGAATGGTGTAGGAACACAACCAAATTGCACAACTTCATTACTTCCCTTAGGGTAATTTCCATGAAACTCAATCATCCTTGGATCGCGCTTATTTTTGAATAATTCCTCATAATTCAAATCCTCCCAAAGCATATCCATCTTCTCTTGATCTTGTTCATCATTAAAATTATTGCCACCCAATTTTGACCGTTTAGTCAAGCACTTTCCTTCTAAAAATGAGCAACTCTTCCTAGAATAAAAGTTGCCATTTTCTGTTATTTTCGCGTTCAACTTGAGCTCTTTTCTTGCTGCTTCATAGGAAGATCGTGTAGGAGAGGCTGCAGGAGAAAGCCTCCATAAAGGAGGAGAATCGATTGGACTATTGTTCGGATTCGTGGTAGGGAAGGTGAACTCATCTATTTCCATTCGATTTGGATGATGATCAAGAAGTTCTTGTAAATAAAAATGGTGTTTTTTTTTTTTTTTTAAGGAAATGGATTTGGTTTTGTTTTGATATATTAGAAGCACAAGTTTTAGTAGTTCAACTGCTATGAAAACTCAAATGATTTAGAATTCTTGGTGAATGTAATAGCTGTTTGTTCTAACACATATATAGTGTGGGGTCCCACAAGAAAGAGAACTCAACTCTAAAGTCCATGTTTTACCTTTTGCACAACAGCATTTACCAAATTAATTTTATTTTTTTTATAAAAAAAAAAAGAAAAAAAGAACAGAGAAATGAAATACTAGTAGTGTTGATAAGTATTAGGTGACTCGTACTTCGTTGCTTTGTCCGCCCGATCGGGCGGACATTGCCCGGTCTGACCGGGCGGAAGAAGAAGAGGTGCCTGGCAAATTCGTTGAAGAAGCTGCTCTCGCGCGCCCGATCGGGCGAGCTTTCGCCCGACCGGGCGAGCCTTCGCCCGACCGGGCGGACATTGCCCGGTCTGACCGGGCGGAAGGGGTTTTTTGGAGTACTTCGGTTGTTGGAAAAGACGTGTTCTCGCGCCCGATCGGGCGGGCCTTCGCCCGACCGGGCGATCTGGGTTTTTTCAGCGATTACGAATTTAATATTTATCATATTGTGATATTGTAACCTAAGTATATCTTAATTAGGAATCACTACTATATAAACTTCCTATTATCATTATTAGGGTAACGGAGAGAGAAACACAAGAGAGAGAATACTTTGAGTGATTAAGTTCTTCATTGTAATCTTTGTAATCTTTGCCAGTTTATAGTGAAATCATTCGATCTCGGTGCCCGTGGACGTAGCTATCACATCGATAGTGAACCACGTAAATTCTTGGTGTTGTTCTTATTGTTTGCATTGAATTTCTTTATTGTTTTCTTGTTTGTTTACGACCTTTGCTTCCGCTGTCGCACAACAATTGGTATCAAGAGCTCAGGTTCAATCCTTGGAGAGTTTCTTGAAGATAACAATGGCAGGAGATTCAACAATAAGAATTGAGAAGTTTACCGGGAAAAATAGTTTCGGGCTATGGCAAATTAAGATGAAGGCTCTGTTAAAACAACAGCAGATATGGCGTCCGTTGGCTCCAAAGAGTACTACTTCGGAGTCAGGAGACGGACCGACTGACTCGCAGTTAGAAGTTATGGAAGAGAAGGCACACTCTACCATATTACTTAGTCTTGATGATCAAATCATCACGGAGGTTGCTGATCAGGAAACGGCGGCTGGATTGTGGCTGAAGCTGGAGTCATTGTATATGACTAAGTCGTTGACCAACAAATTATTACTGAAACAGCGGTTGTTTAGCCTCCGGATGCAGTCAGGTACTTCCTTACGGGAACATCTAGAAAAACTTAACTCTATTTTGCTTGATTTACGTAATTTAGATGTTAAAATTGATGATGAGGATGCTGCGTTGATTTTACTTGTATCTCTACCGTCTAGCTTTGAGAATTTTGTAGAGTCTTTTGTTGTTGGTAAGGATTCTATAACCTTAGAAGAAGTGAAGGCAGCACTTCATACTAGGGAACTCAGAATGAAAGCTACGAGTGATAATGGGGATAATGGTAGTGGGTTATTTGTTAAGTCCGGAAAGTCTAAAAAGAATAAGGGGTTTAACAAGGGGAACAATGCTGGGTCGGGTGCTGGAAACGGCAAGGATGGATCTAGTAAAACTACTACTAAAACATGTTATTACTGTAAAGAACCGGGTCACTTTAGGAATAATTGTCCGGTGAGGAAAAACAAGTCCCAGGCTGCTGTAGTTGAAGAGAAACCGAATGAGAGCTATAATTCAGAGGAAGATTTAGCATTAGTCAGTTCTGCTAGGTCTGATGATTTATCTGATAACTGGGTTCTAGATTCGGGGTGTTCGTTCCATATGTGTCCACGTCGAGATTGGTTTGATACATATGAACCTCGCAATGGGGGTATGGTTATAGTCGGTAACAATGCTCCATGTAAGGTCACAGGTATTGGTTCCATGAGGTTGAGGACTGTTGATGGGCGGAGGTTAACTTTGACTAATGTACGGCATGTTCCTGCTTTAGGAAAGAATCTGATTTCATTGGGTACCCTGGATGAATTGGGGTACAATGGTGTGTTTTCAGATGGGGAGTTGTGTATTTTCAGAGGTTCTGAGTTGGTACTTAAGGGTATCAAAAGGAACACCCTCTATGTTTTTGAGGGTGTTACACTGCCTAGTTCTGCGGTTTGCGCATCTGTATCTCACCAGGAGATGACTAAGATTTGGCACATGAGGCTTGGTCATATGGGGGAGAAGGGGATGCAGCTATTGTCCAAGAGGGGTCTTCTATCCGGGGTCAAGGTTGCCAACCTTGAATTTTGTGAGCATTGTGTGTTTGGTAAGAAACACAGGTCAAAGTTCAGCAAGGGTGCTCACATTACTGATGCAGTGCTCGATTACATCCATTCAGATTGCTGGGGTCCATCTAGAGTTGAAGGTATGGGAGGTTACCACTATTTTGTGTCATTTGTTGATGACAAGTCCCGATACACATGGCTTAGGTTGCTTAAGTCAAAGGATGAGGCCTTCAAAGTTTTCAAGCAATGGAAAGCTTTGGTGGAAAATCGACAAGGAAGGAAGATCAAGAAGCTACGAACGGACAATGGGCTAGAGTTTTGCAAAGACGAGTTTAATCAGTTCTGTGCAGATGAGGGTATAGGTCGGCATCATACTGTCAGGAAGACACCACAGCAGAACGGTGTAGCAGAACGGGTTAATCAGACACTGCTAGAGAGAGTCCGATGCATGCTCTCTAATGCAGGGCTTGGGAGGAGGTACTGGAGTGAAGCTGTGTTAACAGCTTGTTATGTCATTAATAGGGGTCCTCATTCTGGAATTGATTCCAAGATTCCGTTTGAGATCTGGAGTGGTAAGTTGCCTAATTTTTCGAATTTGAAGATTTTTGGTTGTGTTGCTTATTATCATGTTATTGAGGGTAAGCTGGATCCACGAGCCAAGAAGGGGTGTTTTGTTGGGTACGGGGATGGTGTGAAGGGGTTTAGAATTTTTTCACCTTCGGAGGGTCGGGTCATTCTTAGTAGGGATGTTACTTTCGATGAAAACACCATGTATTCAATTAAAAATGCAGAGATTTCAGATTTGAGAAGGGAAGGAGACAATTTATTACAGACAGATGGGGTACTTGAGGTACATCAGTCTACCATTGCTGATTTACCTCGGGTACAATATATTGATGATGATGCTGATGTTCCAGTGCCGGGTACTCCTGAACCTGAGATTACTCCTACTCATTCTAACTCTTGGGATGAGGTGGAGCAATCTAATCAGGGGTCATCTAGTCAACCTGACACCATTCTTGAGATGCCTAAACGAGTTATCAAGAAGCCTGTTAGATTGATTGAAGAGATGGAGGGAAGAAATTGCTGTGTTGATGCGATGACAGGTTATGCATTGAGTGTAGCTGATGATGTAGAGTCATTTGAACCTGCCACATATAAACAAGCAATTAGTTGTAGTGAGTCTGCGCAATGGCTTGCCGCAATGGGTGAAGAGATGCAGTCTCTTTACAAGAACAGAGTGTGGGAACTGGTAAAGGTACCGGAAGGGAGGAAGCTTGTGGGTTGTAAATGGATTTACAAGAAGAAAGAAGGGTTGTCGGAAACTGAGCAAATACGTTTTAAGGCTAGGCTAGTTGCTAAGGGGTTCAGTCAGGTAGAAGGGGTTGACTTTGTTGAGATATTCTCACCTGTGGTTCGACATACTTCTATCCGTGTGTTATTGTCAATTGTAGCACATTTTGATCTTGAGCTGGAGCAGTTGGATGTTAAAACGGCTTTCCTTCATGGCGATTTGGAGGAGGAGATTCTGATGAAGCAGCCCGAAGGATTCGAAGTTCCTGGAAAGGAACACTATGCCTGCAGATTGCTAAAGTCATTGTATGGACTTAAGCAATCCCCCCGACAGTGGTACAAAAGGTTTGATTCTTTTATGGTTTCACAAGGTTTTGACAGGAATTCATATGATTGCTGTGTGTATCATAGTAAGCTGGATAATGGTTCCATGATTTATCTTTTGTTATATGTTGATGACATGTTGGTTGCCACAAAGAATAAATCTGATATTGCTAGATTAAAGGAGATGCTTAACTCGGAGTTTGACATGAAAGACTTGGGTGCAGCTAGGAAGATTTTGGGTATGGAGATCTACAGGGATCGGGCTAGAGGTAAGCTTTTCTTGACTCAGAAAAGCTACATTGAAAAGATTTTGTCTCGTTTTGGGATGGAAAAATCGAAGCCTATAAGTACGCCAACTACTGTTAGTTGTAAGTTGTCTTTGTCTATGTCACCTCAATCAGAGGAGGAGTTGTCTTATATGTCTAGAGTTCCATATGCAAACGCGGTTGGTTGTTTGATGTATGCTATGGTCTGTACTAGGCCGGATATTGCGCATGCTGTTAGTGTTGTAAGCAGGTTTATGGCTCGACCTGGGAGGGAACACTGGCAAGGGGTGAAAAGGATTTTTCGCTACCTGAGAGGGACAACTGATATTGGTCTTGTGTACGGGAATGGTAGGGAATGCTTGGTCACTGGGTACAGTGATTCTGATTATGCAGCTGATGTGGATACCAGGAGGTCTGTGACTGGTTATGTGTTCACTTTGGGTGGTTCTGTGGTTAGTTGGAAGTCTACATTGCAGTCATCAGTTACGTTGTCAACTACTGAAGCTGAGTATATGGCTCTAACTTCTGCAGCTAAGGAGTCTATTTGGCTCAAAGGCCTAGTAGGTGAACTGGGTATTGCACAGGATTTTGCTACAGTGTATTGTGATAGTCTAAGTGCGATTTGCTTAGCTAAAGATCAAGTACACCATGATCGGACGAAGCACATTGATGTCAGGTATCATTTCTTACGTACTGACAAGAGGATTAAGGTGAAGAAGATTGGGACTGCTGACAACCCGGCTGAT